CTTTTTCGGGCCGCGACGAATCACGGTCATCCACAAGGACTAGCAGCAGTAGTAGTAGTTGCTGTTGTAGCAGCAACATCCCCTGATGTTTTTGTGGTTACAAGAGCTCTTGTCCACAACTCCGGCTCAGTGCTGCCAGGGCCAGGTTTGAATGTCCAGGTGTTCAGGAATTCAAAGGGGAAAAGGAGGCCTTAATTTAAATGGGGACCCCTACCCTATAATGGGCCATATAATGGGTATATAATAGCTATCTATAAGGGTATACACCTAGGGGTCCTTATTAAGGCTCCCTCCTTTTACCCTTAATTGGAGGAATTGAAAGCCCTGAACGAGGGGCTGGGAGGGGCAGGCGGTAGTTCATGGTCCAACCCCGAGGGTCCAAAGGACCCAATAATTAGGTATTCGGCTTCAGGATAGTAATGATGCAGGTTCGGATTTTGGAGAGTGTATGATTATTGGGTATTTGGACCCATGGGGTAAGGTGCAGGTAAGGTGTCAAAGATTTCGGGTTGAACGTTCGAACGACATGGAACGACTCATGATGCCTCCTAAACCCGTTGATTCGACAGCCAGACTGTCGCGCACAGGACTCAAGTGGCAACGTCATTCAGACGGGAAGTGGCAGGCGTGGCTAGTTGATGGACAGAAACGGCTCAGAGATTGAGTCTACTTGTAGTATCCACTGCAGTTCCTTCTTGGGTTTAACCAAGTTTATGTTATGCGGTGGATGGTATAAATCCTGCATTACCTTAAGGACCCTAAACTATGGGAATTATGGTATATTCCTGATTATGGGTAATGCAAGATTTATATCATCAACCGTACTATAGGATCCTAGCCATAGCTAACCAGCAAAAGGAAGTACAATGGAGACTAGAGGTAGGGTTCAGGATTCCGGTTAGTTAGTGCTTTCAGACAGTTCTTGGCGGCGGCTCATCGGCCGCTACCGGAGAGATCCTAGACCGAAATGAAACGATCCTTTCGCACACCTTACCTTGAGCTTCGAGTTTCAGCGTGTGAGCTATGTATGGCTTATTAGTTGAGAGTCACGAAACACCCCAAACCTTAATCCCTAGAGCCGTAAACCCTGGATGAGTTCCGCCGCCCTTCAAATAACGTCTGACTCGGCAGTTCTCCGAGTTTCATCGGTTTTGCAGACTTTCGTCCCAAGGCCCGTCTTCAGTACTTGGGGTCGGAGGGCTGGGGAGACCATGGAGAGGTTACGGTCTCGTCGAACCCTGAACTCTACGCCTCGAAGCGCCACGAAAGTTGAGGTTGAAGTGTCCTTATCGACTCGAATGACTAGGCTCCCCAGTAGTGCCCTTTTGTCCTTGCTCTTCCAGGGCTGCCGTTTGAAAATCAAAAAGTAGCAAGAAAAGGTACCCTCACTATGACGGGGCTGTTGGGGGAACCTGGATGAAGGACCTCTGAGAAGACGCTGAACACTCCTTAGATTAATACGTCCGGTCAAAACCACAAATCCAAACTAGGCATCCTTCGGGGCTGCATCTCTCAATTGTGTGATTTCCTCTAGCTTGCTTCGACCCCTTTACAGCAGCTCCCTCGGAGGTGAAGTACTTGAATACTGGAGTTTACCTGAAGGCTCCTTTATCTTTCAACCTCGTAAGCTACTCAAGAACCTCTTGGTACAACCTCTATCACTGGAACCTTACTAGTAGCGGCTTGACGATTGCATGCTGGTCATAGTCAGTAATCAGTAATCAGTTCTAAAACCTAAACCGTGCTGCGTGATCGTAATCCCGCGTCCAGGTCGCTCTGAGACCAGTCGTGTTCTTCAGCCGACCTTTCGAGGGATCCAAGTGGAGGGAACCTTGCGCCTTCAGCCCTAAACCCTGTCAACCCAAAGCTAAGAAACATGCAAACATTGAAGCTGTAAACCTCGAACTCAGGGTGTTGAACCCGGAAACACTGAAGTTCTGTTCTAGCTTCCTGAGTTTGCAGTTGTCAACCCTCAACCCCAAAGGCTCCATGTACCTTTATATAGTAGATACTTAAGCCTTAAAGGGGTCCCTATATAGGTACTTTAGGGCCTAAGTATATACTCTATGGGTACATGCCTAGACCCCCCAAAGTAGGTAAAATAATCGCCCAAAGCCTATCAAAGCCTATTGTTCTACATGCTTTTGAGGTCCAGGTGGAGCCTTAGGGAACAGAGGAAGTCAAGTTCAGTTTGTTGCAGGCCAGTCAGGACTCCCGGCCAACCCTCCTTGGAGGATCATGGGACTTTGTAAGTAAGATTATAGGTACCCTAATAGTTGGGGTGATAAGTAGTTACAAGTATAGTTACTAAGTCCCATAATCCTTTAAGTTGGGTCCTAGTCCCACAGGACCGAGATGTGATGAGCATCCTTACCTACAGACATGCTCAAAACCAGTGCAAATAATCAGCATAAGAGCAAGAATGCTTAGAGAACCCCAAAAACTCGCAAAGTCCAACCTCTGCACCTGGACAGCGCAGAGCTAGGCCCAGCAAAAGACTGGCACAGACTGGCACAATGTGGACAAAGCACCGCTTTGCCATGGGTTTGTAGTGCTGGTGCTGGTGCTGGTGGTTTTGATTTTGGTTTTGGTTTTGGCGGCAGTGGTGGTGACGGCCGTCCATGTTTCCAAAGCCTGTCTCCTGGTCAGGGTCCCGAATGATTAGAATCAGAAGTTTAAAGCATGGGCAACATATGCTACAGTTGAGGGTCCAGACTTGTAGAGTGCACGGGCTACATTGAGCTCCGCTGTCAAAGTCAAACCCGCAAGCCGCCCAGTGCCCTGCCTGGGAACCTCGAACCCTCTTTGCTTGAGGGCCGTAGAGTCGCAAAACTTCAGCAGCGCCCATTCAGAAAGCTTTCAGCCCCAAGCCCTTGCAGTATGCAGCAATGAGCTCCCACCCCCACCTCCGAACTTCACACCCCTTTGCCTTACTTGTCGAATGTACACAAGGCCGCATCTTCAACCATGGGCTCTGCAGGGTCGTTTATCAGCAAGTTACCCAGACCCCTCCTCAAGACATAAAGCCCTGTGTCCTAAGTCCTTCAAACCCGAAGTCCCAGAACCCCACATCTCCGAAGCTCACCAGCCTGGACACACCATGTTCAGAATCGCAGAGAGCATCGCTTCGCCTTAGGAACCTTGAAAAGCCGCCGGCCCTACTGAAGGGTGTACAGGACCAACTAGTACCTGTACAGCACCTAAAGCATAAATGCATAAATAGCTTACTCAGCCCAAAAGCCTAAACCCCTAAACCCCAAGCACAAAACCCACGACCCCTGATCATCTGTAACGCCCCAAGACCCTAAGCCCGTCCATATCCGAAAAATATTCGTAGCCCCCCTCATAACCCAAAGCTGGAACCTGAGCCATGGTTGAGTGACGCCTCCCCGTGCCCGGTGCCAGAGCTTGGCCCTCAAGGTTCTCTTTGCTGTTTTGGCTATGACTCTGACCCTACCGGCTCTATAGGGGTCTGACAGATGCCAGCTTATAGGGTTCTGCAAGGGTTCTGTTCTGTCAGGAATCTAGATAGGTGCTATGAAGATGCTGTCAGAATTCTATTCATAGGGTGACTAAGTTACTGTTTGCCACCGATTTCTACCCCTCAAGCTGGACACACCCCCCATTCGGGTACTTGCCTGTCGTTTACAAGTAAGCCGACTCCGAGCTATGATAGCAGCCGTGAGCCTGAGTGTCAGCTGAAGGTTCAGCTGGAAGTTCTGAAGCATGCATGTTGACACAAATGTGAGCAACAGCTATGTAGCAACAAGAAAGATAGCGTCGTGTATGCCTCAGTGGACTGCTTAGCTAGTATTGCCGCTGAGGTTCTGTCGCAGTAAAGTAAAATCCAGAAAGTTGGAATATGATTATCCTAAACCCTTTATGGTAAATTATAAGGTATCCTACCCTGAAACCATATTCCAACTTTCTGGAGTTCCCTATAAGATTATCGTGCTGCCTCGCCGAACCCAACCATCCGAAGCCCAATAGTTACACACCTAACGAGGTGGTTTAGGTTGGGTGCTGCCCCCACTCTTTAACAGTTGGGTTTTTATGTGCATTAATACTTATACTTCATATTTGATGTAGGCTGCTACAAGGTGGGGGCAGTACCCAAGGTTTAGTTTAGGGTTTAGTTGACAATCCAAACAGGCGGCACCCTACACCTTCCAAACCCTGAAACCTCAAAGCCCGAAGCACCTGGAACCTTACTGTTACTTTGGGTTTAGGGTTTATGCGTTTAGGGTTCAGATTTCGGGCTTTAGGGTTTGTGAGTTTATGCTGTAGGGTTTAGGGATTTAGTTGAACCTTTACGCACCCTCCACCCCGAACATTGTGAGCCTGAGTTCTGTAGCCCTGCAAGACCCTGTGCTGACTTCTTGTTACAAGAAACTTCGGGGATAAAGCTCCCAGAATAGGGATATCTGGCCAGGAATATGCTTTGCTTCTTGTAGCAAGTCTGAACCAAGTGTCTTCACAAGAAAGAACTTAAATTTCAGACCCTGAAGCCATAAACCCTGAGCTTCCAATGCCTTTCCCCGTCTAAGCCCTAAGCCCTAACTTGTAAGCCCCAGACCCCTAAACCCTAAACCGCAAACCCGTAAGTCTGAACTCAAAAATGCTCCTCACCCCTTAGACAGGGCTCTTGTTGCGGATTTTGATTTGAGTTATAGTCATTATCCGGGCTTACAGTAGACAAGAGGATTTTTGTATTTTGTTAACTTAAATTGAATTTCTTAGCTCCTAAACCCTCATAGAACCCTTGAAGGAACCATTGTAGATCCCTTAAAGGAACCCTTATAGATCCCTTAAAGGAACCCCTGGTTATGGTAACTTAAACTAAGATTCCTTAACGAGAACCCTTTGTCCCAAAGGGTCCCATGTACCGATATAGTAGAATGTAAGGTTTCCATATTAGGAATTACTATTATGACTTAGGGAAGTATCCCCCATAACAGTACATAGGACCCTTTGGGTTTGTGAAGTGATGAGGCCAAAAGATGCTCCAGGCCAAATCGGATTTTGACTCCATCAGTCGGCTGCGTTTAGGGCAGAGTTTAGGGGTTTAGGGCTTTAGGGGTTTAGGGGTTTAGGATTCGGGTTCTGGGCGTTTTATATGCAGGGCTTCAGAGTTTAGGGGTTTAGGGCTTCAGGGTTTGGGGGTTTAGGGTTTAGGGTTCGGGATCTGGGCTTTTTATGTGGATGCCTGCAGAGTTAGCAACCATATCCTCTTTCCAGGCCCTATAGTAATGCCAATATGTATGTCCGACAACTCTATCCTGAGGGTCAAGGCCATCAAGCTAGTCATGTCAGTGTCAGGGTGTGTGTGTGTGTGCGCGTCGAACCACAATTGAAGAAATGGGGGGACGGTTTGTGAGGGTTTAAGTTTACAGTTTCAGATTGGCGCTAGTGTGATTTATCAATCTAGCAATGGATATCGGCATGGCTTTGTGATATCTAGTGCTGGGCTATACACCCTAAACCCTAAACCCCAAATATTTGACTTCCAACTCTAACCTCAGAAGCCCATGGGGCCCATGTTCTTGATTCTGGCAGCTGCAGGTTACTATAGGGGCCTTAATACTTACCTATACTGTTATGGGGGTTCCTTACTATAAGTAGAAGCTTATAATGGGCCCCCAAAACCCTCTTCTAATGATTAAGGCGCTATGTTACACGCGCCAAGGCTCCTACGGTTGATGATATAAATCCTGCATTACCTTAATGAGCCTAAATTATGGGAGTTATGGTATATTCCTTATTATGGGTAATGCAGGAATCATGTCATCCACCGTATGTTACACGCGCCAAGGCTCCTCAGTCGGGCCTGGGGGGAGGGCGAGGGTCAGTCAGGCTCCGCTATATCAGCACTTAGGGTGTGCCCGGTTTATGCTCTTCACCGAAATAGTAACCGCAGTGGTACTAGTCAGGAAATTACAAGAACAAGTATAGTAATAGCATTTAAGATGAATCACAACACTAATAAAAATAACAATGAACAATGGATCATGGGGTTCAAGGCTTCTATGGCTTCAAGTTTCGAGGTGCACGGCCTTGGGCTTGTTAGGAGGGGGGATGATTTGCGTGGCTAATGCGGTGGATCAAGCCAGATCTGTTTGTCCACGCAGGCAAACAAGGGCAACGTGATCTCCAAGTTTCACAAGACATCCCTGGAGATCCGAAACCATGCTGCGGCCTTACTTTCGTCTTTAGGTGTAACTTGCCCAAGTCATGTCATGACAGGACCTACAAAGACCCCCAAACATCCTTGATTTACGGGATGTACCTTTAATCATAGTAGGATCCCTACTATAACTTATAAGGTGAACTCCTGAATTAAGGTTGGCAGGGCATGAGACTCCAAACTTCCGAAGAAGCCCAGGCCCTTAAGCTTCGAGTCCCACGCGTCACAGAAATCCAGGGCTAGAGCTGCAGACCTCCAGTTCAATGCCTACCCATAAGGCCCCATAGTAGTTCCTTTTTGGGGATATACCTTGTAGGATTCTATATATGAACCGCAAAAAGGAACTACTTTGGGGCCTCTGGGTACAATGGCTCCAAACATCTACTTATCTACTTGTTTGAGAATTTCCCGTAAGTGCGTTGTCATGGCCAGCTTTGTGGTTTAACAATTCGGTGGCACAAGTGCAGCTTGAGCGCGGCAATCCAGTTGCTTCACGTTTTTTTGTGTCGCAGTTGGCCAGAGCTTCTGCAGCATTCTGCGAACACAAGATGCAATCTAAATATCCAAGAATATGTAATTCTACCAATACCTAACTTAAGCATGTTGAACGAAAGGATGTGCTGCATCCCGCTCAAACGATCTAGATGCCCTGAGTCTTGCCATGCCGAGGAGTTGAGATATTACCTCGGCGTCTTCAACCGACTGCTTCGCGCTCAGGGAAGAGGGGAGTTTCGAGGATATGGGCCCCTCACTCAAAGCCTTAAACCTCTAAGCTTCATAGACACTGTGTGTGTGTGAAGTAATAAGAATCCTTAATGAAGCCGAAAACCTTTCCGAGAAAGCTTTGAATCGAGATCCTACCACACCTTCATGCTTTCCACCATGGAATCCGACGAGCGGGCCCATCCCCATACGAGACGCGTTCATCCTGCCAAACCTAATGTAGAGGCCTTAATAATTGCCTATACTTTTTTGGCGGTTCCTTCTTATAAGTACAGTATAATGGGTCTCAACACCCGATTTTAATTATCAAGGCCCCTACATTACTTCATTGACCCTATAGGCCTAAGCCACAGGTCCGCGATTTCATCAATCCTAGCTGGATTCGCGTCGTCGGCGCTGACGATGAGCGTGCGCAATGCAGCGGGCGCAGGGCCTGTGCGTGCTTTTGGACTCAGGGCTAATCAGACTAAGCATTGCCGGGCTAGAAGGTGGTGGGATTCGGCGTATTATGGTGGTTTGGTGTTTATAGGCTTAGTTTGATGTGTGGGATCAAGGTGAACCAGATTGGATGCTTTGATTCTTATGGGTTCTTGTCGAGCCCTGGGGTAACATCCAAATAGTGAGGACCTGTAGCATTCCTCAGATGCCCATGGGTTTGTGAACACTGCGGCCTTGCGAGGGTTTCTGCGACTTGTAGTGATAACTGCGACACCCCACACAGCCTGCACTCCCCCGAAGGTCTTCATGATCCTCTTCTCCTCCATTCCGCTGTCCTAGATCCTGAAGCCTAAACTCCCAAACACCCCAAACGGACACAGCACCACAATATGAAGAGCCTCACTGCACCTCCTAAACTCCACGCCCTAATCCCTAAGCCCTAACTCCGCCTCCCGACAAGAACAACTCCGACCTTCCGATATCCCTTGATTCCGGAATATACCTTGAACTATCGTAGGATGCTTAAAAATGATTTAAGGTATATTCCTTGTTTTTGAGGAGATTGGTCCGGGGGAATCACTTAGTAGCTGAGTGGATGCACTTTACACTTTTTGGGATTATATTACCCACTATAAAACTGAAAGTGTACACTTTTTGGGGGCTTATGAACTCAGCAACTAAGATCATGAGGTACCCGACTGGGAGGACTCCCTCCTTGTGGTGGCCTTCCTAATCTTCACTGGTAGCGCCTTTGGGATGAACCTGATGGCCCTGGACTTAGCGAAGTTTTTGAGTCTGTTTGGAGTTCAGAAAGTTCGGGGTTCTGGTATGGAGTTTAGGGTATGGGGTTTAGGGGTTTAGGGACCGAGAATGTTTAAGTATGAACCCAAACTCCTGAATCGTACAAGGGCTGATTTAGGGTTGTCGCTCTCGGGTTCAGGGCGTCAGGCTTCGGGCTTTCATGGTTTGGAACTTGGCACGGAACCCTAAGGGTCCATGTACTCATATAGTATATACATTGGCCTTAATGTAGTTCCTGTATAGGTACTTTGGGGCCCATGTATCTCTATATGGATACATGGACCCTTAGGGGAAGTTTGCTTTTGGGCTTTCGGTCCTTGGTCACCGGCCTACGCACTATGGGTGCCCAGCACGGTACCGGTAACCGCTTCAACTTGAACTCGAGGGATATGGTTTCCTGACAGTCTTGGCGTCCAACCGACACCATATCTAGACACTCAAAAGTATTTCGTTGTTTGTGTTCATTTCGTCACCCTTGCGTCCTCATCATCGGTGCACACCGGAGCGGAAAAACCTGGTTCAGGAACAAAGAAGCTACATCCAGAAATCCCTACGTAGGCAACCTGCAGTTCTGCCCGAGCCCTCAATGTCAGAATCAAGAGCCTTTGCTTGACTCAACGCCCTGATTCCATTGTCTATAAGGGTAAGCATACTGGTAAGCATGGCCCTTGCCCAAGGTAGCGCACATCCAGTCCATAAACATGGCTCCTGCGCAGTTAGCAAGCATCAGCTGGTAAATGCGCACATCCCAAACCAAGAACCCGACCAAATAGGCCTTTCAAAAGTCTCCACTGTAGTTCCTGTTGTGGATTACCTCAGTATAAACCGGGTTTAACCAAGACAAGGAACTACAGTGGAAGCTACTTGGAGGTTCATGTTTAGTGATAAGTACAGATATAAGTAGGATAACTATACTTATAGCCCATATTAGGGGACTTATAAGCCTACTTGTAACTAGGCAGACCAGTCCGAAATTCGACGGAGCTCTTGGAGGGCCTCAGCACTTGACCAAGCTGCTGTTCGTCTGTTCGTTTAGACTCCTTGTTTATTGTCAGGCTCCTAGTTCCCTGTATATGGGCTGTCCTATACATCAAGAAAAGATCCCGGTAAGTATAGCACTGCAACCGCGCGTCCTGAAACCCTAAGCCCCAAACTCAGAGACCTGACGAGCCTAAACGCGAAGTTCTGAGCTGATGAGGTCATCCTGATTGCGACCTTGTGCAATCTTTGGGGTCCGGGGAAGGCGCAAACACCCTTCCGTGTTTCCGGCTCGAGCTGGGGTCTCCTTCGGAGATGATGCATATGGGTGGTTGTCAAAATTATGGTCCTTTTTTGGGGTCCTTATTATAGTACGGCACCTAATATTCAGGGTACCCAAAAAGGGGCCGTAATTTGACAACTACCCATGTAGGGGCCCTAAATAATTACCAATACTGTTTTGGGGGTTCCTTATTATAACTATAGTATTACTGGGCCCCAAAAGCCTATTCTAGTTATGAAGGCCCCTATGGTATGCATGCTTATGTCGTTTATCAGACAAGCACAAGAGGGTATTCAACATTTTATGCGTTGATTCCGAGCGGCTTGCAGCCAAGTCTGCAGATGAGGACGTAGCTGAATATGGGAGTTTCCGAAAATAGGGGACCCTAATTTTAGTACCCTAAATAGTAGGATCCCTATTCTAAGGACCTCAAAATAAAGGACCCGAAATTTTCGGAATCTCCATATGGACTCAATCGTGGATTGTTAGATTTTGTGGCCGACCTATACATAGAAGCCATGTACTCTTCGTTGTTTCGGCAGAGTTCACAGTCTAAGGCCTAAGGTAACAAAGGTTATTATTAGGGTAACTATACCTTTAACTACTTATAACCCCTATTAGGGTACTTATAACATGACAAGAAGTATGGCGGGTACTTTGCGGTGAAGGATACGATTTGTCGCATGTGGGGTTTGATTTCGCACTGAGGGCCAACTGCAAGTTCTTAGAGTTTACGCTTACGGCACAGCACTGACCTTATTGGCTGTAAGCTTCACTTTTCAACTTTTGGGGTTCTTATAAGGTAGTAGATTTTGAAAGTTTCAACAATTTTCCTTGGCTTTTGGACCAGTGAGTGACTCGGGGATGATTGGCAATTTCAGATCTGGGCTGTTCAAGCTCGAAAGCGTAGGTTTGGGTGCGCAGGCCCCCAACCTCACGTACTGACGACTTTCGACCCCTAAGACTCCATGTGCTCATATAGTAGGTACTTAGCCCTTAAAGGGGTCCCTATATGGGTACTTTAAGGCCTAAGTACCTACTATATGTGTACATGGAGCCTTTGGGGACTCTAATCCCCAGGCCACAAGACGCAGGCGACCCGGGGTTAACGTTACGGCTTTTTGGGTTTCCTAAGGGTCCAAGGGTACCCAAATTGTGTACACTTTGGCAGTGTCGTAAGTTTTGATGCTCGCAGGGTCCGAAACCTCATTCCATGTCACCGTGCCATCACTTGTTGCGGATCCTCCATGGAAGTCTCGAGGTCAGGATCTTCTGGAATCCAGGCATCTTACTATTTAGACTTGGGTAGTGGGGCAGATTACTCTCGTGAGGAACCCTATTCCAATCATTTAGGAAGCTTGTAGTAACATCCCAGTCAGTGTAGACTGATGTAGAGCCTTCTAGGCCATACACTCCCAATACTTCAGGAGCCAAGTACTTTCGTTGCTCTCAGGCCCTGCAGGGCGCGGACCAAGCTCATCTGCATCAGGTGCCAGCAAGGGTTTAGAGTTTAGGGTTTAGGGGCCTAGCGTTTGGGGACTTTCACACGGATGCTGAGCATGTAGAGTTGCTACTTGGAGGTTCATGGCTAGTTATAAGTAGGGTGATAAGTAGGGTAACTCTACTTATAACCCATATTAGGGGACTTGTAACCCTACTTATAACTACCCCTGAACCTCCAAGTAGAGTTTCTAATTCCCAGAAAGAGCTCAGTCCTCACGGCCCAAGGCCCTGCGAAGGTCCTTCACCCGACAGCCGACAACAGACTTCCAAAAGGATCTGCGGAAGTGTAAGGCCACTGCCCCAAGATGCCCCAAGGGTCCAAAGGGCCCAATAATTAGGTACTCGGTTTTAGGATAGTGGTTATGTAGGTTGATAAACAGTTTGGAGAGTATGATAATGAAGAACTGGGACGCTTAGGGTTAAATTCAAGCACAAGCTTCTAACCTGCCTTAGGCGGTTAAGGCTTTTGGGCCCAAAGACCATACTATTATGATGCAGGGCTGCCACACCACCCCCTCCCCCCCCCACCCCATGGTATCCTCCCCCCTTCCCCCCCGCCCCCCCCTGTGGTGTGGGGCCTCTGGTGGTACTCTTTTTGCCGCGACGTTCTTATGTGTTACTCCTTGTCTTCCCTCTTGCTGCTGGCGCCGGTGATACTGCTCATGATGTTGTGCTGCTCTAGACCGGGACATGAGTCGACAATCAGACCATGCTCAACATCATCCTTGTCGTCGTCATCTTCATCATTAATACCTTCAAAAGAATATCCATCGCCATACAACCCTCATAATTTAGCATTGCAATTCATGTCAGATGCTGGAAACTACTGCGCCGATTGCCGCTTTCCGCACACGGCAGGGCATAGTGCGACACTCCCGATCCGCGCGCAAGGTGAAGGGGCGGGCAAGGTGCGGGCCGGGGGCGGGCCGGGGCGGGCAGGGCGGGTGGGCGTGCAGCAGCAGCAGCAGAAGGGGGGTGGGGGGGGATACCATTGGGGGGGTGGGGGTGGCGGCCCGGGACCCGAGAGCATATATATATATATATATATATATATAGATATATAGATATATAGATACATAGATATATAGATATACAGATATATAGATGGACAAAAGGCTTTTGAGCTATTTTGATACCCAGCGAAATACGGCAGTATGCAGAACCTTGTCCCAAACCCTAGAAGCCCTGAGGTTTGATGACCCCCTGTCCGATCACGTGTTCAGTAGTAGCACCCTTAAAGCTTCAAAGGGTTCGGTTCCTGATAAAAGGACTCCTTAAAGGGTTCTCTACGGGATTTAGAAGGGTTTAGGGTCTACTAGGTTCCCCAGTAGTTACCCTTTTTGCATGTTTTCTGTTCGGGTTTCCTTGTTAAAGCCAAAGAACAACGGTATTCTTATGATTACGGTAGAAGCCAGAAAGTTGGAACATATTTGTCCTCATACCCTTAAGGCGAAGCATGGGGGATCCCAGCATTAATCATCCTAAATCCCTGTTCCAACTTTCTGGGGTTCACGATAAGGGGCTACTGGGGCACCTAGGTAAGCTGTGCACACACCAAATGCCATCAAGCAGATCAATTATACTCTCCATAGTAGTTCGTTGCTGCGTCTAACCAGTTGTACATCTAGGATACTACAACGTGGATAACCCCAGAAAGGAACTGCTTACAATGCAGACTAAAGGTAAGATACTCCACCCTAAACCCTAAACCCTATAAACCCTAAAGGTTCCCCTTGGGCAGAGGGAAAAGAGGGCTCAAAAAATTAAAACATATGAACCCTAAAGGCCGAACATTAGTCACCAAGTCTACCTATAGTCTCCATTGTAGTTCCTTTTTGGGGTTACCTTATCGGATCCTTAATATATAATTGGTTAAACCAAAAAAAGGAACTACAATGGAGACTACAGGTAAGTTGTGACCAGGCGATCGAAGTCCTGGAGCAAGCTCAGAAGGTGCTGGCAATGGAGAGTCTCTGATTTAGGATCTTACTGGTTTTGGGGGGTTTCGGGTTTAGGGCTTGAGATCATAGTCGTTTCGGGAGTAGGGGTTTCAGGTTCAGGGTTTCGCGTTCAGGCGGTTTAGGTGCTTTTTCGTCGGCAGGTCTTGGAGCCTACGCAGTGCGGATACCTTAATTGGCTGTAAACTCAACTTTTCAACTTTTGTGGTTCTTAAAAGGTAGTCGACTCTGAAAGTTTCAACTTTTTCCCTTGGTTTTGAACCAGTGAGATACAGGCGGATACTGTGCACCCTTAAACCCTAAAGCCAGCTGATTAGTAAGCCTACACCCTGGACTCAAATCTGAGCAACTGCACATGCTGCGTCAGATCCAGGATAGGATAGGGGTTTGAGGAATCGGTGATTCAGCCTTGCTGCCGACACCAAACCCTGATTTCTAGGTTTCGGCGGCTACGTATTAACCCCGAACCGCATTGGCCATTCCGTTAGGTTCGTTGCTACATTCGTAGTGTTATTAGGAACTGTTTTCTGATCTGAATAACTATAAAACTCCAACGGTTTATTTCGAACACTGTTGTTATTTTGGTTCTAGAAGAGCGCTGAAGTACTAAAGAGTCCGTAAAAATTAGAATAGGCTTTGGGGGTATATCGTAATTACTCTAGTTTTAACAGGGAACCTCTTTAGGCGCCTATATTACATGGTGCAGAAACCTCGCCTCGGCTTCTGCGCAAGGCTCATGCTTCTGGGACAGAACAGCAGCAGAACTCTTGTGGTCGTCACAGGTTTGCAGCAGCGTTTGTGCAATCAGCTTCGTGGCAACCAAGAGCGAACATGCTGTAGACTAGTATGAATCAGTATTAGGTATTTACACACGACCACTTTCATTACCGTTCGCGAAAGGACCTGCATTTCAGCACCGCTCGTGACATGATTTGCGTCAGACGCGCTGAAGCACCCGAGCCCACGCAAGGTGTCAGCAGTATACGAACCACCCTGGAGTTGATGAGCCACATCCAGTTTCAGCTTTAGCTTTCGTGAATAGTGTCGAAGCGCAGTCCGTGATACTGTTTTTGCGTGTCTTTCCAAGTACAAGTATACTTACTTTTTGTTTACACTCGTACGCATGCAGGTAGTTAGGCAGGTTTACTAAAGGTAAGTACGCAGGCATGCAGGCAAGCAGGTATTAGGTAGGCAGGTAGGCAAGTCCGCACTTATGCATCATGCAAGTAGACATGGATGGATCCATTGGTGCATGCTTGTAAGCACACATGCATTACCAAATGCAGGGTTGTATACCGTTGTGGGTACATATATATGTATATGTATATATATATACATATATGTATGAATGCATATATCCAAATGCTACATAAATTTACCACTATGTACACACATGTGTATATATATATATATATGTATATGTTCACCCCCCCCCCCCCACAAGATCTACACCCGCCTCTTCCACACAATCCCACAGGTTGCTCCTCTACATTGGTCGACTACGTATATATGCCGAAAACACTGTAAATACCGACACAATCGTGCTTTACCCCGTGTGCATGCAAACCGTGCTGCTACAAGTCGCGGGTGTTATGTGTATAAATCTGGCGCCGGATCTCGGCGGCGGATTTATGGTAGTTTATGTGTTGGAGAAGCTGAAATGCTGGAGGGTGTGCTATTTTTGTTCATGTAGTACTAAAAAAAGATTGTTTTTTGCGTGTTATGGTGTGTTACTTAACAACTTTCCTCCAAAATAAAAAACTATTGTCTCTCTTACGAAGACGTCTGTGTGCGTAGGCCATCTCTTTCTCCCGCTGCTCGTGAAGCGTCCGATTCTGATGCGGCCTTTTAGCTCTTGCATTTGATTTTTGAGTTACAAAACACAAAGAGCTCCTTTCATGTCCTGTCCATTATACATGAAGGAAGTCGAATGTACAGGCGCGTTTATTTTTGAACAACACTCCAATAGTTGTTCTTTGCCTCATAAGAAATGGGAAAGCTCCCCTGGAGTTGAAAAGTTCATCTGCATATGCGGGCGCACAAGAAAGCTCGTCGGCAGCAAGAAGTAAGAGAGCTCTTGCAACCTTCCAGTCATGAAGCAGGACTAATTACGACTGGCTGCATTGGTACGTATCACTTACAAGGTAGGGGCTCCTTAACCTTGTAAAACACAGTAAGACGACACTCCCTAGATGTGATCAGCAGGCAAAGAAAAGTTTGTTTACTGGTATCTTGTTTAAACGGGCAAGAGGCGTGAGACTTCTATCGGTTTCTATTGAAGCCACTTCCCTCACATCCTGGCATAGCGATACCGGTCCTTCTGTCTCTGACTGTGGTTTCGACGCTGTCATAGTTCGTATCACAACATGAAAAGGAGCTCTCTTCAGTCTTCAAAAACTAAAGGTGACATCGAACATTTTTCTTGGAGTCTTCATGTCTCTTGCTTGGTAGGTATGAGGATGGCCAAATTAGTATCCTCAAACATGGACAGCGATTGCTATGCACATGGCTGCCTTTACTATTTGTCACAGATCGACCAACAATATGAAAAGGAAATTTCTTCCATGAGTAGCGATCGATATCTTCTCCGGGTATAGGACAGCATCAATAAGAGTTAACTGAACGAAATCTCATGTCTCATAGGAAATTGAATATGGAGTTTCCATTGTTTTTGATGATAGCAAAATGCAAACAGTTTCCTACATTCTTCAGTATGGAATGAAATGATTTCTACATAGGCTTGCGCTGCTGTAGCACTTAAGCTGCATTCATTATTACAGCGTTGGATCTGTAGGCGGTGCAGTTTGCCAAGAGGAAAGGCCTAAACCATATTCGAGAAGCTCAAGTACTAGAGCCAGTGCTGCTGGTGCCACTGATCTACCAACTTCCGAAAATATACATGAAATAAATTATGGAACGACTAGGCGGGCTTTGTTCATACTTATCAAACAAGAGTAATGAAAACCTTTGCTGTTCCAGAAGTCACAACATGGTACTTCTAGTCCTTGACAACGGTTGAAAGGACACAATTATCTTGTGATACAGCATATCGTGTCCTGGGCATCAGAAAACACTGTAATGCTCAAAAAAACCCAAAATTCCCAACACTGAAATTCACGAAACACTGTCATGCTCAAAAAAACTCCAAAAGTTCCGAAATCCTGGCATCTATGGCCAGGCCTGGGGCAGATTCCTTAGAAGTTCGGAATCTTTTTGAGCATAGCAGTGTTTCGTGAGCTTTGAGGCATTTAAAAGTTGATTCTTTTTGGGCATTACAGTGTTTCGTGGCTACTTTAACATCACAAAACATTGTAATATTCAAAAAATCTCAACTTTTCACAACCTCAAAGCTCACAAAATTTGAGCATAGCAGTGTTTCGTGGCTTGAACCTCACAAAACACTGCAATGTTCAAAAAAATCAACTTTTCCGAAACACTAAAATAATCCAAACCTTTAAGGAATCCAAAAATCATTTTTTCAATTCTTCAACGCTCAGAAAATTTGAGCATAGCAATGTCTCGTGGCCTAAACCGTACAAAACACCTCGAAACTCACGAATCATTGTAAAGCTCAAAAAATTCCCAAAATCTTAAGGAATTTGCACCTGGGCTGGCCATAGATGCAAGAATTTTGAAATTTTTCATTTTTTTTGGCATTACAGTGTTTCGTGAGTTTCAGAGTTGGGAATTTGTGAATTTTTTGAGCATTACAATGTTGCGTGGCCTGATCCTCACAAAAACACTGTAATGCCCCAAAAGAATCAACTTTTCAATGCCTCAAAGCTCACGAAACACTGCTATGTTCAAAAAATTTCAAACTTTTAAGGAATCTGCCCCAGGCCTGGCCATAGATGCCAGGATTTTGGAACTTTTGGAATTCTTTTTAGCATGACAGTGTTTCGCGAATTTCAGGGTTGGAAAGAGCATTACAGTGTTTCGTGCGCCCCATGCCCCAAGAACCACGAAAGCATAGATCTTGGGAGGGGCACGCATATGTATATATATATATATATGTATGCATATGTGAATACCGATAGAATAGTATGAATGTTTTTTCTCTGTGTATGCCTGCATGATGTCTGTACACATACATACACTACTTTTACATACACGGAAGATATACAGATTACATCGTTGTTCCGGACCCGTTGCTGGAGCTGTTCCACGACAAAACGTGTTCCCGGGTGTTAACAATCTTGTAAGTCCGTCGGGACCAGCTTATGTAAGGATATTTTGAAGGATCACCCTGGGCTTGAGTCGTCACCATATTTGCCAGTGTGCTATCGACCCGGTTCTGCTTGTTAAACCCCCTGTACTAGTATGCGAGGAGGCACCTTATTGATCAGGCTTTCGCAATTCAGTGGAACGAATTCGACGCCGCAGCCCGTTAGCTGAAGCTGACGATGTTCGGTTGTGTTGCGGCTTTTGCGAGTTTGTGCGTTGAGACGGCCTATCGTGCAAGGTGAATAATTCGGTTCAGTCGGGGTTTTAAGGGTTTGTTTTGACTGTTCCGGGATCTTGCGCCCTAAACTTAAATGCTAGGCCGGTGTGGCCTTGAGTTTTGCATGTGCCGGTTGTAAGAAAGACAGACATGGAGCCGAGCGAAGACATACTGATGGGTCTTAAAATCCAGCAGAATCAACTATCAAAGCCCGCACGACTCAAACAGGAAGCGATGCGTTTCTTCATCATGGGGCTGTTCTGCTACTTTATGTCCACGATCCTGGCGAGAGCCTTAGGTCGTGGTTCAAAGTCTCGGGAAAAACGCGAAACAGTTTGCAGTCGCCGCCAACCGGGCCCTGGCTGCCGAGTAGCTATGGTTGCATCTCCTCGTCGGTAGTAATCTCATCCTTATTGTGACGGTTGCTATAATGGAGGTGGTTGTGTTCCATCCTTTCCTTTGCGAACAGGCAACCTGATGTCGAATTCGAGGAAGTACCATACAAAGCCCGTCTTTCCCAATCCGTATAGCTCAAGCGCTACTTGCAGCTTTAAATTCTAAGGTTGTCGTGTAAACAGCAGGCCAAAGATCTTCGACACTTCCTCTTCGGAGCCCTTTAGACCATAAACTTAAACTTGCATGCTTAAACCTCTAAACCCAAACTCCTGTTATGGGGACTTTAGCAATTTAGTAGTTGGAATAGGGTTTTGGGTTGTACTGTAGTATCTTTATATGACCCAGGTGCATATGTGAACAAGGATATCCCCGAACTTTGTGAGGTGTCCATTCGACAGCTTGAGGAATCCAAACATCAAAAGCCCCCCAAGCCCTAAACCCCTAAACCCCTAAACTCTGAACCCTACTACAGCCTATAGCCGAGCCCACAAATCCAAAACGATCAAGTGCTAATGAAGACTCTACTTAGTGAGCTAGAGTTCTCGACCCGGTCCGCCTCCCATCCCCTCCCTCACCCCGAAATTGCAAAATTGTGCACGTTATGGAAGTGAGGTGGTTTGGCTGCTCTTCGACAAGACTGGAGCCTTCATCACCACGGCCGCCACCTTAATAGCGGGGCTTAAATGATTACCATGCTTTTTTGGTGGTTCCTTATCGTAATTATATAGTGGCCCCCGAAAACCGAATCTAATTATGAAGACCCCAAAATTGCAGTACCCTTATAGTAATCCTTAAAGGAACCCTAAACCCTAAAAGCCGCAAAACCCTATTCTAAATTCTTCCTATAGTCTCCATTGTAGTTCCTTTTTTTGGTTAACCAAAATCTCTATTATAGGTTCCTAACCATAAAACTGGTTAAAACCAAAAAAAGGATTTACAATGGAGGCTCTAGGTAAGGCCCCTATTCTGAATTCTTAACTAACCTTTGATATTGGAGGAGCCAAGGAGCCACGGATGATGAGAACCCCTATTAAATAAGGAGCTAAAGAGACAAGGGAACCCCAAAACCACTGGTTAGATCTACCCCTGAACCCTAAACCCTATACTCTTATAGAATCCCTATAGATCCCTTTAAAGGAACCCTTAAAGGAGCCCTACTTATAACTGCCCTACCCCTGAACCAGGTAAGGCCCCTATATGAGCAGTTCCAGGGGCTTTTCCTGCTCGGACTACGGGGCTTCAGGCTTAGAGAGGTTTGGGCAAAGCGGTCTTTGGGGGGTTTAGGGTTTTAGGGTTTTTGGGGTTTAGGGGCTTAGGGTTTTAGGGTTTTTGGGGGGTTTAGGGTTTTAGGGGCTTAGGGTTTCAGGGTTTTGGGGGGGTTTAGGGTTTTAGGGGCTTAGGGTTTTAGTGTTTTTTGGGGGGGTTAGGGTTTTAGGGGCTTAGGGTTTTAGGGTTTTTGGGGGGTTTAGGGTTTTAGGGGCTTAGGGTTTTAGGGTTTTTGGTGGTTTAGGGTTTTAGGGGCTTAGGGTTTTAGGGCTTTTGGGGGGTTTAGGGGTTTTAGGGGCTTAGGATTTTAGGGTTTTAGGGGCTTAGGGTTTCAGGGCTTCGGGTTGTCACGAACTTGTTCATCACATGAGTTTTGTGGTTGTCGAGATAATTTCAATGTGCCAAACGGTGTTGTCGCGTATACGGTCCCTAAACCCTAAACCCTAAACCCTAAACTCCCTAAACCGCAAACAGTCCCAAAAGGTCCGAAGCCCTTATCATGGCATCCAAATGCCGGTTCTGCAGCCTCACTCAAGCCCGTGCCTCCTAATGGTTCATGGAGGACCAATGTGTGTCGGTAGGCCAGGCAGCTACGGGTGCAGCAAACACCCATGATTTCGCAGATTTCACGTGCACTTTGAGAACATATTCGAATAACTACGCGCGAACCGAAGCTCTAAACCCCGAAACACTACGAGACTCGCATGGACCGCAGATAGGTGATTCTGGTCCTTTTCTGCCTGATGCTGGTGCGGCAGAGCCTGGTCATACGCCCTGAGCCTGGAGGGGACTGCAACGGCCACTACCAAGCAGGGTGTGACAAGGGTCACTGTAAGACTTGCAGGGGTTCAGGTTTGATGGTTTCGTACGATGAGCCATTGGCAGTTGCGCCCCGCACCAGAAACCTGCGCACAGTAATACTATCCGCAACCGCTCCAAGCACCGAATAATTCTGTCCTGGTGTTTAGGATCGCAATGAGGTGTCTAATAGGTCCAACCAAGAATATGCCGTTATTGGGCATCTGGGCCTTCAAAGTAGTCCAAATGGTCTTAGCCTGTCAAAGCAGCGCAGGCCACAAGAATGGCAGTTCTGGCAGGGTTATGGTTCGGGTCGATGATTTCGAGCCTGAGGGTTTGGGGGTTGTAAGGTTTACGGCGTTGGCGCTTAGGTGTTTGAAGGATTCAATGGGCTGAGGGTTTCGGGTTGAGGGGCTCAGGGCTTTAGGAGGGTTCGTTTGGCAAAGAGTCTACTTGGAGGATGATGGGACTTAGACTTAGGTAGCAAGGGTTATTATTAGGGTAACTATACTTATATCTACTTATAACCCCTAATAAGGTACGTACAACCTTACTTACAAAGCCCCATGATCCTCCAAGTAGGATCAGGGCTTCGGGCCTTCCAGGTTTTTCAGAACGTCATGTCAGGACAGTTCCGAGGCACTGTTTGGGGCTTTGGATTTAGATGCTTAGGGCTTGCCGAAGGTTCAAAATGTATTAGCCAACTTTTTTGGAGTCTATACCAATGGTGGTTGTGCAATTCTGTTGCCTGGCTCCCATCACGATGGCAAAAGCGCATGGGAAAAATGCACTGCGTTGCCCCAAACCAAAGTCGTGTACTCTAAGCCGTGAATCCTGGTCCCTACACAACCCTTTAACCCCCTCATAAACCGACGCCCGTTTCACTCAAGCCCCTAACAACCCCTGTCATACTTTCGCCACTTCCGAACCCCGAAAAGTATCGACCCATCTTTTCATATCCGACGATGCGCTCAACAAATCTTCTGCCCCCTCATCAATCCTATGTAGTTAGCCCTGAAGACACAACCCCTAAACCATAAGACACTAAACCGTAAACCTAATGCCGCTGCACGCAGCCGGAACAGAGCCCACAAAAAGCCAAAACCAAAAGCCGAAGCCCTGAATCCTAAATCCTTCATATCATTAGAGTTGTTGTTTGTTATTATGATTACTGTTCTGCGACTATGATTCGTAACATCATTATTATTGCTATTGTGCTTCATACCATCAATACGGTTATTATTGTCATTATTGCTTGTATTATTCGTTTCGATATTCTAACTGCCATTTCTATTAGTACTGTCATTGTCCCTAAGGGTCCATGTACCCAAGTTGTATATACTTAGGCCCCGAAGTACCTTTTTAGGGACTACTTTAAGGCCAAGGTATCTACTATTTGGGTACATGGACCCTTAGGGTGTTACCCAGAACCCTAAACCCTAAACCCTGAACCCTAAACCCTAGACCCAGAATGAACCCTAAACCCTGAACCCCAAACCCTAAACCCTATAGACCCCAAGCCCTAAACCCGTAAACCCCTAAACCCTATAGACCCTAGACCCTAAACCCGTAAACCCCTGAACCCCAAACCCTAAACCCGCAAACCCCTAAACCCTAAACCCTAAACCCCTGAACCCTAGACCCTAAACCCTAAACCCTGAACCCTAAACCCTAGACCCGGAATGAACCCTAAACCCTAGGTTTAGGGCCCCAGTGTTTAGCGGCCTCGGGTTTAGGGCCCCAGTGTTTAGCGGCCTAGGGTTTAGGGCCCCAGTGTTTAGCGGCCTAGGGTTCAGGGCCCCAGTGTTTAGCGGCCTAGGGTTTAGGGCCCCAGTGTTTAGCGGCTTAGGGTTTAGGGATCTGTCTTCTAGAGCTGGGCCCCTCCAGGGGTCAGAACAATTAGCTTGTACGGCTAGCCTCGTCGAAGCTCTTTGTTGTGGATCGACAGTTGAGGAGATGCAAGTCATGACATTTGACAGCTGTGGTTGTCGTAGAGCGACGACGTGACCGCAGCTTCAGCTGGTCTGGGCACTCCTTTCTTTCTTAACTAGCTCTCTTGGGAAATCTGTCGGCGGAAGCAATTTTTGAAGGTTTAGCGTGTTTTGAGAGGTCACAACTTTTCTAGGGTTTAACGACTGTAAGGAAACAGCACTGTGGCCTGCTTGATCGAAAGTTTGAAGGTTTACGGACTGTAATAAATTCTTTGAGTTGTATGTAAGTTAGTATTTAATAATTCAAGCCAAAAGAAATAAAACTTTCAAATCTAATGTGAGGGGATTCTCTGGGCGGGTGGGGTTTCTTCTTGAAGATAGCTTGACTAGAAATAGCTTGATGTGAAATCTTCAAAGTCAGAGCTGCTGAACCCTGAACCCTAAACCCTAGACGCGGAATGAACCCTAAACCCTAAACCCGTAAACCCCTAAACCCTAGACCCTTATAGCCCTTTAAAGGAGCCCCTATATCCCCTTTAAAGGAAGCCTAAACTCTAATCCCCTAAACCCTAAACCCGTAAACCCCTAAACCCGTAAACCCCTAATCCCTGAACCCTAAACCCTAAACCCCTATAGACCCTAAACCCTAAACCCTAAACCCTATAGACCCCAAAACCCCTAAACCCTGAACCCTAAACCCTAGACCCTATAGACCCTAAACCCTGAACCCTAAACCCCTATAGACCCTAAACCCTAAACCCAAAACCCTATAGACCCCAAAACCCCTAAACCCTGAACCC